GTAGGGAAAAGAAATAAAAAATGCATTTAAATCAAAATATAATCAATTTTGATTAGCAATTATTTTTTGGTATATTGTATTGTAAAAAATAACTAAATCACAACAAATATATAGTAAAATAATATTTATTGTCTATAATTTTACAAAATTAATTAAAAAAAGAAAAACTTCATTTTAATATTTTGTATCGATGTTGTAAAATTCATTAGAGTAAATATACAAAAATTTTATTTTTTATAAGAGACATTTTACATATTTTTTCAATTAAAACTCTTATGGTACGTCTATAATTTGTATTATATAATTCGTTATAATTATATTGATTGTCAAATGGATATTATTGTTTAATTTATAATTCGGGCATTAGTAAATTATTAATTCATTTTGAGAATTTTGGTCCAAATACAAAAAATAAAAAGAAAAGAGAAAAGAGTTTGAACTTGAACTTAAACATAGAAAAACCAAAATTATGCTTAAATAATCACTTTATAATATTTTTTCAGGTACTTATTTTTGTTTTTCTCAATATAATGTGTCATAAAATCGCTATGCCATTGTAAGTAAAACTTATCAAATAATATATTATGTTATATTATTTTTAATATTAAGACCTATTGACTTACGGAAATAATTAATACTGGATAGATAATAAGTATTTTCAATTAATTGCGAATTTAGATTTATATTAAAATTTTATCTATTAACCACGTATATTGAAATATTGACAAATTATTAAATGTTAACGATAGTATTTATACTCTTAGTAAGTTTTGTACTTTACTTGGAGTAGTATAATTTGAATATTTAATATTTTTAAATATTTTTCTATAAGCTAATAAATAAAAAAGAAGTTAAATTACGACTGTTTTTCAATGTAAGAATAATTACATTTGATTTGATCCTTATTAAAGTCAAGTAATATTTAAAAATAACTATATTAGTTCGATTATGCTGTTATATAAAAATTTAAACGAAACTTTTTAGTATTTTTTCTGCAATTACATATTTGAATGTATTTTGTGTGAAGTTATTTAAATCGATATTTTATTGCATTTACAGTAGCACATTCAAACATTCAAATAGTAAGAGTCTTTATGATAAATCATTTTCGGAGAATTTTCACGATGTAATTGCACTTTACGCTCAAGGTACGAATCCAAAATATATTAAACAATCAGCGCAGAGATACGAAAATTCTTACAACGTTGCTGCGACTCAAGTACCTAAAGTCATACGAAAACCCAACTCATCTGCCGCTATTCAGCATGAATTACTCAATAAAGACTCAGAAAACGCGGTATGTTTGTTTTAACCCTAAATTTTTCATTTAATGCATTTTGAAAACAGCCCATTGTGATTTATTTCCCACTGCTACTTTATATTATCTCTATTCTCACTTACCTTATAATGATAATTTTTTATACATCTTATATATTAGCTTAGTTCTTAGTTTCTAATTTCTACTTTTATAAAAATACTATAATTACCCGTATTAGTTTAATTCTAAACTTTAAAATATAGAAATTATTAAATGCGAAAAATGAAACTTTTTATGGAATGATGTAGCAACTTGAAGATCTTTCGAAAAAGAAATAAATTGTCTGCGCGTGTAATAAAAGGCTCCGATGAAATGGTAAATTTATCTCCGTGAGGACTCGTGTCAGGTGCTCATTAATCGACGATTAAAACTCTCTATGCGATCGCCCCGTCGACTTTCTCCCGCTTTCCCCGCTAATGGACAACCGGGCATTAATGTACTCGTTCTTGGCGGCAGATATACGTGAAGTACTCGTACAACTACGGTGTCGTCGACGGAAATACCGGGGACTCGAAGGCCGCCTGGGAGGAGAGGGATGGCAATACAGTAAGAGGCGAGTACTCGGTGCTCGAGGCGGACGGCTCTATCCGCATCGTAACTTATACAGCCGATGATCTACATGGATTCAACGCCGTTGTTAGGAGGATCAAACCCTCGAGGCTGGCCTCTAGGCCAATGGCAGTTCAGACCTTCGAGCTCGCGTCCCCTTACAAACGTCCGAGGCACAAATCGTTTCGATAGTCATCCGAGCTCCAGGATCACTTAGTCTCCACTGGGCTTTCGTCATTCAATGTTCGAACGAAGCTTTTATTTATGTATGAGAAATAATGGGATAGGTATTTACGCTTTTCTTATAAAAACAAACTAGAATTTTGATGATAATTAGTTATAAACGTAATACCTTTAAAAATATTGAGATGCGTATGTTCAAAGTATATTGGTTATTTACATTATAATATTTGTACATATTAAATTGTCATGGATAATGTTTATAACACTTTAATAAATCATAATTACAATTTTCTTACAAACTTCAATACACCAATCAATTTCCTACGTTAAACTTGTTCAAAGATTCGATTTATTATAATTATGCTATATGTATATATAAAGTTATTGAAATTGTTATTTTATGTTAATATTATAATTCACTAATGTGATATATTGTACCTAATTTTTTTGCTGTATTCTTTATTTTATGTTGTCTTCCACATATTTTTAATAATATACTTGTTGCTTTCATTCTCTCCTACTTCTTAGTTTATTTCGATATAAAAATTGCACCAGTTACTTTAATATTTATTGAAAAAATTAAACCTATAAATTCAGTCCATTTATTTATTTTTATTTTTATATATTTTTCATTTTTTTTCATTTTTTTTTTTTTTTTTTTTTTTTTTTTTTTTTTTTTTTTTTAACAAAGATAATAAAATCAATGAAAAATGGAAGAATATATAAATTTAATTATTGCAAAGTATAATCCATGTTCGTGTCAGAAGAAAGAAATATAAAATAGAAGTTGTCAGTTTTCTAAAAAGTTTTTATAATTCAAATTATCGTACAATTAAGTCATTTTATTAAATAATTAAAAAATGTTGTTATAAATCACATTATTAGTTCACAGTTGTCAATGCAATCAGTTTTATTTTTTTTTTTAACAAATATAAATCTTGATTTTATAAGATCACTTTTACAAGATTATTGGCGCAAGTTATTAATAAATTTGTTAAAACTTACTACATCCTATTTTTTTTTTTTTTTTTTTTATAATATGAAGCAATAGAATGCTAAATAAAATGTAGTTTATACTAGTCTTACACCTTTGAAGAAAAAACAAAATAATCACATATTGATTATAATATGTAATTACATCTCAAATGTATCAACATAAATCAAATCTTATAATAATCTATTAATGATAAAACAATATAACTACAGTACTTATTATTAATGTATGAGCAATTGTAAAAAAAGTGTCACAATAATAGTGTAAAAAAAAATAGAAGTATACATAATTTTAATCTATCTAGTAATTCTTGTTAGAAACATTTCTAAGATACTGATTCATTGATTCATTCTTATTGAGAAAATGAAAATACTGAGTGCGTTACAATTCTTCATAATCAATTGATTTACGGTTAAAATTATTAGTCATCTCTAACATATTCTATTACAACGTGACCATTGTGTTAAAGATTACATTTTTAAAATATTCATGAAGATTTGAAATTTGCATTTGCAATCAAAACTTAACATTTTTACATAATTAATATTCTTATTTTAAAATAATGAATTTACATTTTCAGTTGTAATAAAAACATTATTTTTATATTCATTTAAATAATTCGTGCATTAAAATACAGAGAAATTAATATTATTTCTAAAGTGTAAATGATTTATTTAAATATTGAAGTGTTTATGCAATATTAGCCGCAACAAATATCTTTGTTGTATTTATCTATACATTACTTTTTAATATGCCAAAATTTCGAAAATCAATATTTAAAATCAAATGTTTATATTCCATTACATTTGTTGTAAAATATTTATTCATCAAAGTCTTCAAATTCTCATTATTTTTCATTGAAATTAATAATAAACACGAGTTTGTATGATTGCAATGTTTGATGAAATATGGACTATTAAATGAACTGTTGGGGTGGAAGAAGATTCCAAATTTACAAATCCTACCTATTTCTAGATCTCTTACTACTACTTTTTTTAGCACTATTAGATGGTCTACTTTTGTTAATATCTTTACTATTGCTATGTCCATCTTTCACTGGCGTTGATACATGATCTAAATTACCATTAGTTATAGGGCCATTTGATTGAATTGGAAAAGAAACATTACTGTCTGTACTACCAAGAGAACCATTATTTTGAGCATATCCAGTTTGAACAGATGTGTGGTTTTTACCACTGACTTCTTTGCTATTGCTAGATGAGATTGTGTTTGAATTGCTGAAGTTACAATTGTCCTCACTGCCACTGTTTCCAATCTGCGATTCTGACTCGCTGTATCGGTCAACTAGAATCATGTACCTAGTATTAATAGCCAAACGCAGATACCAAGCAAGAAGAAAACAGCAGAACCATAGAGAATCTCAATAAGACGTGCAATGAATGTAATAGATGTATTTACAAAATATATATACACACACACACACACACACACACATATATATATATATCTAAATATGCATGTAAATACACATATATATATATATGTATAATGATATTTAAAAATTAGAATGAAAGAATGTTATACTATATATTTTCATAATTTCATCAAAATTTATTAGTTTTGTATTCCAATAAAAAAATAATCCAATTTAGTAAAAAGATAAAAAATATTATTTAACTAGATAAATATTAAAGATGTTATTCCATTTTTATTATTTTATAATTAAAGATTGAATATTCAAGAGCTGAATTATGAATTATAAAACAACTTTTACTAAAGTTTACATTTATTAAGATTTAAATCATATCTATGCATTACATGCACATGCATATCTTGTGTGTGTGTGTGTGTGTATATATATATATATATATATATATAAACATTTTCCACTCTATAATCAAAAGTTATATATTTTAACTAAACTAAGTTACACTCTACTTTTATCAATTAATATTTAATTTATTACTAAAATACTACCACCATAATTTTTAATATTAAATTTTTTATCTACATAATGAAGAAATAATACTAACAAATAGAGCTACCTATACAAATATTCAATAGAAAAAATGTAAGCACCGGCATTCAAAGTATATGCAGCAAACTTAAATATAATTAATTTTACATAGAATATATATTTTTGCATGAAAATAAAAATAAAAGAAAAGCCAATGTAAAGTAATAAAGTTTTTATGTAATAAAATAAGAAATATTTTACATTGCCTACTTATAATTAACAACAAGTAAATTAGATTAAATATCTTACATAAATGAACTAAAATACACTAGAATGCAGGTGCAAAATAATTGATACTATGAAAAGAATAAAAAAGAATAAAAGGTGTCAGTTGATTTGCAACAATATTAACTGTGAAGTTTGAAAGTTATGAATATCCGTTTAAATCCTTACTTTTTTCCTGTGCATTTTCAGCCAATCCACTAACAGCCTATAAAAATAAATTTATATTTGTGCATTTGGAATGTAATATAAACTTTAATAATTATATACTAACAGCCATAGATGTAATTGATGATTTTGAGAATAACCTTTCAGCCTCTTTAAATTTTCTATTTCGTTTATCAGCTTTACTGTTAGTATTTTTGTTACTTGCTAAATATCTGTCCCATCCACGAATGATGTTACCATATAGTTGTGTATCTTCGAGATAACTCCCTTCAAAGGCATATATTTGCCTTTCAAGATTCGCTAATGTTTCCTAAAATGATTATTATACTTATTTATATAAAATTTATATAAATAAATAAGAAAAATTAATAAAAAAAAAAGTATTAAATAGAGGTTATGTTAGAAAAACCAAATATAACCTGAAAATTAAACAGATTTTTGTGTTCCTAGTATAAAGCTATAAAAGGATTAAGAATAAAAAATGATTATTTGTAAATACATATTTAGGATTATTATATAACAATTCTTTATGCAAATACGAAAATATGTATGATATAACGAATGTTTATATTTTTGCAACACTTACAGCAATTTCTGCTTTTCTTTTAACGAGTTCAGCTAATTCTGCTCTCAAATCTACTGACGATTTTGTGGACATGATTAACGAAATTTGTTTTTATTCACTGTAAAATAAATTCGTATCAACTAGCACTATAATAAACAAAAACTCTAAAATTCGCTTATATATTGTCAATATTATCATCGGCCATTGCGTTTTACGTGTTGGTTACTTACTTCCTGTCTGAAATATACTTCCGACTTTTTCCCGCAGTATTTTAAATTGTGAAATAAAGAATAAAGATGAACAGACAAGTGTTTTTTTAAAAAAAATTTATTAATTATTCACATTATGAATATGAATTATGTTTATTTTTCGAAAAATGTGTATTTTACAATAAGAAATGCTTTACAAACATCATGATATATTACAATTAAGATGCAATACTTTATAAATATTTAATTACATGATTTTAAAAATATTTAATTATTATTTATTTAAAATGTTAATTAAAAACGTATTTTAAGTTATAAATTAATTATATAATAAGTTTTTATTAAACTAGTCGTTTTGTTTATATATATATATATATATATATATATATATATAACTTGCAATGTTAATTAGTTTAATTTTCTTTTATATAAAAGAAACGAAATGATCAATGACTATTACAATATTTTTAAGTTATGACAAGAAGAAAATATGGCACATAAGTAGAATTAACCTTTAAATTTAAGATAAAGGCTGCTATGCTTATATATTAAATTTCTTAATACTGTTTTAAACTAGTGTTAAAAGAACACATTATTCTATATTAGTTTTTGTTAATAAAACTGTTATAATTTAGTCAATTACTAATGTCGTACATATAAAAATTGGATACTAGAATACATAAATGAAAAAGCACAAATTAAAAACATTAAAAAGGCTCTTAATCATTGTTGTTGTAGCGAAATTTGTAATAGTTGGAAAGTATTAATAACGTTTGGTTCGTTACTGATTCTCAAAGCTCATCTTGGAAATGTTCGATATCCTGTAAATGGTCCCCGTAGTCAGTCGCTTCACTACCTACGAAAATATCATAATGGTCCAAAATTTCATCAAATGATAATCTATCGTCATGATCATCGTCAGAAGCTGCGAATAAATGATCCACTTCATCATTCGTAATGTCCCTGAAAAAAAAAATTAGTATATAAGATTAACAAGAGTAATCATAAATACATAAAGCTAACATAGTAAGATTATTATTGTCAATAAATAAATAGAATTAATTTGATCCTTTGTCAGATTAAAAAAATATTTTCTATGGCAATTTGATACGGATGTATTTATTTTTTCATAAAACATTATTTTTTATGCACAAGGAGCTACTTGTACTTTAGTAACTTTGAATCAAATGTTAATAACGATCGAAGAATTAACTTTCATATAATTGAATTTAAAATTGTGTCTGAGGGTAGTTACGCGTAAAATTTATTTAGGTAATTAATATAACTTACTCATTCCTTGGGAATAGCCAAGTATGTACTTCAGTGATATTTAATTTACCATCACCATTTCTATCATAAACACGATCAAATTTATCTTTTTCAACAATAAGCCATTCTTTATTCTGTCCTTCCGCTCTATCCCCTAAAAATTCTTGAAAATTAATGTAAGAATCTCCATTCTTGTCATATTCATTAAATGTTTGTTTTAAAATAAGATCTAGCATTCTAGGAGTTTCTTCGGGATGAGTATATGCTTTAAATTCATCCGTATCTAAATAGCCATCTTTATTCTGGTCAGCTTCTTGAAAAGTCTCTTTATCATTTGCAATTAGTGAATCATCCGCAGCTAAATCTTCTGGATCAGATCCACAAGTATCTTGTAAAATTTCGGACCAGGTCACTCTACCATCTTCATCAGCATCGACATCTTCTAATCTATCTTTAGATTCTTTATCGGACAACATTCTAAAATAAATAACCACGATAGTTATTATACTTACTTATTTAAATAAAAAAAATGTCGTTTGTATTTTCTACATACTTACGCGAGTGAACGTAAAATCCATGCTTTCAATTCATTCCGCTCAATATATTCGTCTTTATTTAAATCCATTTTTGTTAATAAAATACGCAATCGCCTTTTTGATTCTTTAATTGGAAGTTTATCAAACTCTTCAGCTTCCTTGACGCTACCTACATTTTGATAAAGAAAAAATATCGATCAGATATAATTTAATGTTAAAAAACCTATGTATTACTTAAATAATATTGTTGTTATTTAATATCCTTAAATTTATTATAAAAGTCATTATATGTTTAAAGATACAGTTGTTTCTATATACTTAGCTATTTTGGAATAAGAAACAATCGAACAAAATTATCTATTGTATAATTAGAAATAGCTAAAATTTTAAATAGTCTTGGAATTATTAACTGCATCTATATTATTAAATTTATCATTCTTTAACGATAAATCCAAATATTTGACGAATAAAAATAATCTGACATGTTATTTAACGTTCGTCTACTTTGCAAGTGCTTACAATAGCATCGTTATAATGAAAGAAATTAAAGACAAGACGTACACATATTTCAGCAGCAGATTGTGGTATCAAGTTATAAGAAAGATACATGAAAGATAATAATGATAAAGTAAGTAACAGATAATTGTTATTTTATCGAAGGTTAATTTTTCTTTTTTTTTCTAATGACACGACACTTTTACTTATAAATTCATTCCGAGCAGCATTATGTTGATTTTATTAATGTCAAATATGAAAAGGTATAGCTAAGTCAATTAGAAAATACATTAACGTAAAATGTTGTATGATGAGTCTCATTCACCGAGAATAGCCTCATGATCGAACTCCTGGTGATGCTCGCCCCCAGCGTAGTGGCTACTCGCTCGAGGACTCTTTCCCTGCTGCCGCCGTTCTTGTGCTTAGCGTATTGCGTGTGTATGTGTGCGGACGCAGCTCCTGATTTTGCGGTAAACTCGACGATACATAAGAGACACACGAAGGCGAAGTAACAGCGACTCAAAATTCGCATGATTACAGCCTTGCGGAACTTTAAGAAAAACAGAGACGTGATGTTATCGTGATGAAATCAGCCAACGAAGGATTACGGACAAGGACAATAATAGCAGATGAAATTGCTAACCTCGATAACCCTTACCTCTCTCGTGCTGCTCGATGACTTGGACCACTTGAACTTGGACCCACCGACAAACGACGATGACGTCATGGAGATCGCTCGATCTATCGAAGGACTTTCGAGGTAATCTTAATTTTCGAATCGAGGACTGTTATAGTTAATTTAATAATTTTCTATTAGGTTTGTTAATTATTAGAAATAACTAGTATAATATAATCAAGCTTCAATGTATTTTCCGCCTTTGGATCCACTGTGAAATGTAACTGAAATTGAATATTATACCGAATAATTAAATTAACTGCCTTCTTACACGTATTTTTTCAGTTTTTTTTTTTCTTTATCATTTAAATGTAACGGAAATGGAATATTTCTTATTTAAATATGATTGTTAATAAGTGCAGATGATAATGACAATTTTTATTTTGTAGAAATGTAACAGATCTGATCTAAACTTGGAATTTTGTAAAGTATTAATCTAATTATATTTTAATAAATAAAATAATTAATACAATAATACATATATCTAGTTGTAAATACAGTATCTGAATATTATCTGTATATATATATATATATATATATATATATATATATATATGAATATAATAAATAGATATATAACAAATATAATATAGTAAATATATATATATATATTTATAGGGAACCGAAATTTTCTAAAGTATTTTATATCTGCATATATTAGATAATAAATATAATATAGCTGTTTTTATTTTAGAGTGTATTATCCTTCGAAATTACGGGTTGTGGGAGAACTTAAATCATTAAAACAGGCATTAAAAAAAAAAAAAAAAAAAAAATTAAATATGTCAAAAAATTGTATTTAAGACAATTACTTGAATTCAATATATTGAAGTCATTACGCTTTTTTAATTATAATGTAATTCAATGTGTTTAGGGACAGAAGATAGCAGAATTAAAATATATTTTCAAATTTTAAAAAGTATCAGTCTTATACTTTTACCAAAGTGATACTTATATATATATATATATATATATATATATATATATATTTGGTCATTTACGTAATCGACCAACTAATTTTAAAGACCTCGAGCAAATATGGGACTAAAATTTTTTTTATCTCTCTCATGGGATAATCCGCTTAAAAATATTATAAAAATCTTATTAAAAATATAAATTCAACTTTATTTTAATAATGAATTATTTTAAAAATAATTTTATCTCGTATTTGCCCATTACAGTTGTTTGAACTTTTTAATAACGACAAATATTTTGTCATAATTATTAGTTATCCATTTTTTAAATTATAATAATAACATTTTATACTTATATGGGTAAGTTGTAAATTGAATCCGAATTGAACATGCATATATTTTTAGAAAGCTCGTGATATTATTTTTTATTTGCACTGTCAACACAAACTTCTCTTTGTTATAATCTATTCAAAAAGAAACGTGAATACGTGTATATGAAAACTAACTCACTTCTAAAACTGCTGATAAAAAAGCTGAATCGATAAATTTAACTGATGGCATCGACGTTAAATTAAACGGAAAAATTAAATGGAAACTAAAGCGTCGATCGAGACGCTCATCGGTAACAAAACTTTTCGTGAAATGACAGATGCAGACTGAAAACTAGCGCCTGGAGTGTTACAAAATCCTCATTTATGCACGAGCAGGTTTCCTTTACATAAAGAATCCAAATCTTTCATATGACAATGAATTTAATGAAAAGAATAACGTTAACGTTTCAATTGATATTCGTGGTAAGGAGGAAGTGGCTAATTTTTATAGTTTTAATAATAGATAGATGTCAGATAATTTGTTCAAATATTATAATACACAAGTACATTCTTTTAATCGAGCAAAACATTATATCCATTAAGAAAGTAACAAAACTATCGAAGAAAAGTAAATAAAATCATAAGTAGTATTATAAAATGACAAAGATGTTTGCAAAACCTGAATAAACTTAAATTTGTGACGACTACATAAATTATATAAAATTTCAATTTCATATAAAATATTGTTATTTATTAAGAATATTCAGATCAACAGATAAATATTCTTAAGTACATAAATTTTTCATGTAAATGATGACTTCCTTTTAAAAATAGCTGCAAGGTAAATGCCATTAATATTATTTATTTTAAATTATATATTTCATATGTAAAGAAATTAAAATTACTGATAAAAAATTATATTTATTTATTTATGATAAATGTCGCATTTAAACTAAAAAGTTACTTTTTAATAAAATTAAGTAAAAATTAGTTTAAATGTAAATTTCGATAACTTTGTTAGCCTAGTTTTATTAAAAATTAATTATTAAAATTAACTATAATTATTTTTAATACAGTTAATATACAATAATATAGTTATAGTTAATTTTTTACAATTATTTTTATAATAATTATACAATTGATTTTATACATATATCATATATCATGAATTTCAATTAATTTACATATTACGTAAATTTGTTATAAACTAAATTTTATATATACATTTATATATATATATATATAAATTATATATAATAATAATTTATAATAATAATAATATTATAATAATAAAATTACAATTATATAATAATAATAATAAATTATATATAATAATTATATATATATATATATATATATATATATATATATATATATATATATAATCAAGAATAATATTATTAATTTATAATATCCATAATGGACTGAAACGGATTTTCTACTCTACATTCTAACTACTCCTACATTTTGTATTCGACTATTGAATGTAATATCTACTCACTTGGCTTCAAAAACTCAATTATATAAGTTCTACTTTTATTAATAGTTGCACAGTATTTTCGAATAAATTTTGCATATACTTTTGCGACCACTTTGTATTATGGAGGCGTACTTGGCGCATGTACTTTATTCTGAAAGTCCAAATAAAGCATAAAAGGACGCAGGACTGTAGATGCGTGCAAAAATTTTCAAATATTTTCCCACAATTACAATCCGATTCTATAATTGTAATGCAAATGTAAATTGTAATGGTAATTTTAAGATTGAAAAAGAATGCAAAATAGATATAAAATTGATAAATCACATTATAAATTTTCCAATAAATGAAAAAGAAAATGAAGTATAATAAGAAAGAAAAACAATTATGGTTTCTACTTATAATAATTTATCGACAAATATATATAATTTTCTATAAATTTTATATAAATTGAATATATTTTTAAAATGCGGTTTGAACCATTTTGAAATTCCTAGGATATGCGTAGTTATATTTATTACTTAAATATCCTTGTAATTTAAGCGTATTTTATGAAAAATTTATTCGATAATGGCTTCATAAATTTTACTTTAAACTCCTATCTTTTTGTTATTATATGTTTTTCAGCAATAGCTTAACAATGTAACGCGTAAAAAAGAAATTGTCACTGTATACTAAATGATCTAAAATTCTGAAGAAATGATAATTTAATTGAAAGTATTTTCATTATTTTAACTGCACTGTTTGTCAAATAGCCGATGTAATATTATCGTAAATGGCTATTCAATGGCTTGATAATGAACAAAGTCGAATGACGAGTAAGGAATTTCAACGTTAAGAAGCGCATATTTTATTCATGCCTCGCAAGTGCGCATCAGCAACGTTATTCCAAGTAAATAATCAAGATAAAATCTGTTTTCAATTTGTGCTTCTGGTGCGGGGCAGGCAGCCTGCCCTGCGCACATCAAAACTAGCGGACATAATTTTTTGCACCCGTCAATCTTCCGGTGGTATCGCGCACTACAGCGCCAACCATACGAAAATCCTGCGCCGCGTTAGTTTCTATTCCCCCCCCCCCC